TTGAGGGTATGTCTGAGCCCTTAATTCTTGTCAAATTAAGGTTGATACCACTGACTTGGGCAAATCAGCATAAAGATAGTGGGTAATCACTTTTTATAACAGGCAAATGCTCCTTTCCCCTCTCTTGACCAGAAATACCCTTATTCCAGAAATTAACCACATTTTAATTTACTTTTGTATCTTATTTTCAATCCTGAGTGTAAATGATGGCACTCTGTCCAATGTTACCATGTTATTCCTACCTAAGTCAAGTTTTCATTAGCTTTGTTTTATTGCATAAACCCCCTTTGGGTTAGCATTGACATGACATGGTAAGAAAGAAAAAACCCAAACGTAATCTGCTTTTTATCCTCAACTTTGGTAATTATATTATTATTTATTATACGCATGGAAGAAACATAAAATGTTGCAAGTTGTGTTTTCACACGGTTAATCTACCACAGAAAGCTTTTTTAGGCACTCCGATTCTAGTAGTGACTGTAACTGATCATGGTTCTGGAAAAAAAAAATCTGAGAAAATAAACATGAAAGAAGTGATAAAGGAAGTCTTTTTACATTTTGTGCTGTTTCTGGTTGTTGGGTATAACAGGCCGAAAATTCAACTATTCTGTTTATTGGCAGAAGTTGTAGTGATATAGATGGAATTCGTATGTTACATATTAGCTGGGTTTCTGCTATTTAACCATCTTCCATTAACAAAAACTTCACTTGCTTTTTCACTTTTGCGTATACTGACATTACCATGTACTATTGGTTACTTAAGGGAAGAATGTGCATTTAGGCTTACTGCTCAAAGCTATGCAGGAGACAGCTTGGTGTTTTGGGTAATTCTTCTTTAGTGCTAGCACATTTCCAGAATATATTTGAACTAAGACTTAGAAAAGGAAATCAATTTCTTAAATAAAATACATTTTTTGTTTTATTCTTGTGATGCATAATATGCGCATGCTTTCCAAAGTCATAAACCAGTGCTACCTCCTCCCTCCTTTCTTAATGTATCACGTCCAATTCACGAAGTGTTTAATTATGTATTTAAATGTAATCATGTAATCATTTAATAGATGTAAATACAAGTTTAAAGTTTAAAATGAACCTCCTTGCTTTACTGAAATGGGACCATTAAGGCTGTGAGCCTGAAAAGGAGGAGTTTATGAAAATGCACACATATCTGAGTAACACTGAAAGCAGAGTGCAGCAATGCCCAACGGCCACTTCTGCAATAGCAATCCTCTTCTGAAATGTTGGTCTCTGCAGGGAAGATCACTATCATTATAATTAGAGCTATGCTACAATGGACTGCTCACAGTAGCTGCTCCAAAAAGTTCTTTGAAGGTGAAGACGAGTGGTAGGCATTCTCAGGAACAGAAAATTGCTTTCTCAAGTTAAAAAAAAAAAAAAAAAAAAAAAAGAACCAAATAAAATAAATTTTAAATAAATAAGTGGCTAAAATAAATATTTTTTTTTGGCCATCACAGTCTAAACTAAAATTGCTGTATTTCATTTGTATGTTGCTGATGGGCACTAAAGAAATATATGTAATTTGTAGTTTCCCAGAATATGTAATATGTAATTTGTAGTTGTACTTGCAAATAGATAAATTTTGTGAGCAAATGAAGAGATACAAAAATATTTTTATTTTTGCTTTCAAGATTAACAGTTCTTTTTTCTATTAATTATGAAGGCCTAGTTTCTAAGAACTGTTTAGTACTTTTAGGTAGGTACATTGATACAGGTATTGATATACATCTGTTGATATGAAAAATGTTTTAAGATGGTCTGACCAGGTTTTTATTGTCTTGTTTTTAAATACGTGCCCAGGCTGGATTTAACCTGCTAATGACTAGATCAAGCGGTTGACTAAAATTGAAAACCCGATATCAAAGCCTATTCCTTGGTTTTCACACCAAAGCCAGCACATGTTGCTGTATATATAGCTGTTAGATATATATAATTTTACTGCTTCTCACAGAATTATATCCCAGAACTTTAGATACCATGCAGAAATTTCTGTGGTCTGTTAAAACTGTAAACTTAAAACTACAGCTGCAAGAGTGCTAGAAACTGAGTGAGGTTTCCTCTGTGGACAATTGCAGTGCTTCTGCCAAGAGCCTTGAAGTTACGACAAAAAGATGACGGCACTGGTTGCTTTTTCTTTTGAATGACAGGTGAACAGGTCATAGAATTTAGCTCTGTGAGTAACAGGAATTACAGAAGAACATAAAGACAAGGAAAGGTAACAATTATTTAAGAGGAAAAGTACCTGAGACCCTGAAATGGAATTTTGTTCTGTTATCTGGAACACGAATAATAGCCATGATAATGAAAATAATAACATTTCAGTACAAGGATAGAGTTTCAAAATGTATTTCTCATGTGGGAGACTTCAGCATCTTCATTGACTTGATTTTTGAGATCTGCTGTGTTTTAGTAACTTGGAATCACAGAATGGTTGAGGTAGGAACAGAGGTGTGGCGATCATCTGGTTCAACCCCCGTGCTCACGCATAGTCACCTAAAGCAGGATGCCCAGGACTATGTCCAGACAGCTTTTAAGCATCTCCAAGCAGGAAGACTCTGCAACTACTCTGGTCAATCTGCACCAGCGCTCAGTCACTCTCACAGTTAAAAAGTGTTTCTGATGTTCAGAGGGAAGCTCCTGTGTTTCAGTTTGTGCCCATTGCCTCTGGTCCACTGAAAAGAGCCTGGCTCTGTCCTCTTTGCACCCTCCCTTCAAAGTTTTATACACATTGATGTGGTACACCCTTGAGCCTTTTCTTCTCCAGGCTGAGCAGTCCCAGCTCTCTCAGCCTTTCATCATAGGAGAGAGGCTGTAGATCTTCAGTCATCCTGGTGGCCCTTTGCTGGACTCTTTCCTGTAGCTACACTCTGTCAAATTTGGCAAGTCAAAGGGTATTAAAAAGATCTGCTATAAATTTGCTCTCCACACTTTTGAGGTGACAGTGGAACATAATATTACAAATCAAATGTAAATAGAAATATTCAAGCAGGTGTAAATGCAGTTAACTCTTGTTTTTCTTCACATTGAAATCAGGACATTGACAGCTAAACATTCTTTCTTCTGAATAATAGCTGTGATCTGACCTCTTCACTTCTTTTATCTTCCTCCACTTACCAGCAACTACAAGATATTATAATCCACATAAGCTGTCTTTATTTAATAAGTTTTGTCTTTCTTTTTTTTTTAGTTTTGGATTCTTTATTTCCTAGAAGTTAATATTTTCTGTGGTGTGAGTGGTCTGAAGACTTAGAATTGAATGTAATAAAGTTGATTTTCAAAATACCTGGCTTTTTGGCAATCTACCCATTATAACAAAGCAATATGGTGTTGTAATGCTTTGCTGCCCACCTTTGATGTGTGTAGAGGAAATACCATAATTATCTGAGAAAAGTATTCCTAATACAATTCCATTGATTACACTAACTAAGCTAGTAAGTAAGTTCTCTCCTGCTATTATTATATTGCAGTTAGGATGTCAAACAATTGTGTGTATGTACAATTTGATAAGTGATTTTAATATACTGGCAGACATTTATCTCGCAATTTAAACTTATGACTGCATGGACCATTTCTTAGGAATTATAGTCTTTAGGTTTTAACAAAAGATTTTTAGGGGGAAACAGGCATGTTTAAATTATTTTTATAAGTTAATAAAGTATGGTTTGTGGATTTTTTTAAAATTTGCTGTCAGAGAAACTGTTTTATTTCTTTCCTCATAAAACATTGAATTGATGTGAACTTCAAAATAGATTGAAACAGATGAGCTATCAGAATTCATAAGTTGTTAAAAAAAGAATTTTATAATAAAAAAGAAGAGCATCCATTGAAGAGCAACCAAGCTGGTGAAGTGTCTAGGGAAGAGGTCTCATGAGGAGCAGCTGAGGGAACTGGGGTTGTTTAGCCTGGAGAAGAGGAGGCTGAGAGGAGACCTGATTGCTCTCTACAGCTACCTGAAAGGAGGTTGTAGTGAGGTGGGGGTCGGTATTTTTTCCCAAGTAACAAGTGATAGGATATCCTCAAGTTGTGCCAGGGGAGATTTAGATGGGGTATTAGGAAAAATTTCTTCACCAAAAAGATTGTCAAGGACTGGAACAGGCTGCCTAGGGAAGTGATGAAGTTACCATCCCTGGAGGTGTTTAAAAGACATGTAGATGTGATGCTTAGGGACATGGTTTAGTGGAGGACTTGGCAGTGTTAGGTTAACAGTTGGACTCGATGATCTTAAAGGTCTTTTCCAACCTAAACAATTCTATGAATTTAATTTTTAAAGACCATTCATAATTTAAGATAGTTTCAGTAGTTGATACTTTTGATACTTTTTCAACTTTCTACATAAAAGTAACGATGTTTGTCAAAGCTAGAAACATTGCTTAAGTCTTTACTAATACGGATATAAAGTCAAGCTGCTGAATTTTTACTAGAGGTATTGTCTGTATTAAAAAACTATCTCTGAACAACAAAAAAAAAAGTTAGCACAGTTCAAATCATAGGTTTGATCCCAGACCATGGTGTCATGACATATGCAACCAAGCAAAATGGTACCTTTGATAGCATTTGAACTGTGGGTGTCTCAGTTCTCAGAAAGTTCCTTATTAAGGGTAGCTCATGTATTTGTGACTCCCCCTAGTGGATAGCTTTCTCAACTATACACTAGGAAATGTTCTGGATATTAAAATGATCTGACATCATTAAAAATTGAGAGGTATTTGTTTTCATGATGAAGGTCTGATTCCATTCTCATGGACAGTCAGAATGCATTTGTGTGCATCTCTACTCATTACCACTCATTTTGCAAGATATTTTCTTAAAGATTTTTTTTTAATGTGGTTGCTGATAATTGTATCTAGAGCTGTTTATACATTAGCAGGTGGAACACTCTTTTTTTCTGTGCTATGAACCTCTTCTGTTTCCCAGACTTTCATTTACATGTCTGTACATTCCTGAAATGTTTACAGTTTGCCTTTATTCTTATTTTATTTCAGGTACCACCAAAGTAAACCTTGTGAAGATCCCGTCAACTGCTTCCAGTCCTCGAGACACTGCTCTAGCAGCTGTTATATGCAGCGCACTTGCAACAGTGCTCTTAGCTCTTCTTATTCTTTGTGTTATCTATTGCAAGAGGCAGTTCATGGAGAAGAAACCAAGCTGTAAGTTTCCAGTTATGACTGTTTGTTTGTAATATTCCTCTGCCGGTATGAGTTTGGCAAATCTCTCTGTAGGTAAATAAATTAAATTTCTCTGGCATTAAAGCAAGTTTAGCATTGAGATGAACAAGCTAGCAGAAGCCCAAGATTATATATCCATACACGTTTGCCAGCTCTAGTGTGGATGTTCAAGCTTCTACTAAGAAAATGTTGTGCAGATGTCCAGAAATAATCCAATTGCATTAATTCTGTGCCATACTCTGTTACGTGCTGCACAGATATACGTGTACCATTTGGGATCCAAGCTGGGATGTCATTATAGAGTTGTAGTGCCAATGTGGAAATACTAGCTTGGAAGACCTATGCATCACATGCCATTGTGAAACAACTTAGCTCATCAAGATAATGAATGTGGCCAGGCTAGATAGCAGATCTGTCATTAACTATTTTGGCTCAATGGGCATATTCAAGATGAATTAAATGCCTAAGCCAGTTAGATTTATAAATTTTTTAAAAAAAAATCCATAACAGCTCAGCAATGTAATTCACAGATTGTTTAGAATAAACATGTTTCTGCCTCTTAATTTAAATCAAGAAAAAGTCAAAAGCACTCTAGTTCCCATTTATCCTTTAAAAAACTTTTATTGAAATATGTTTATAGCATCTAATGAACACTGGACGTCAAACAAGAATAGTAACTAGGAAGCATTGATGTTATCACTGCTTACAGCTCAAGCGAAAATAAAAAGATTCAGAGAGGCATTGTAAGAATTGTTCCTAACCTATAAGATGCTTTACAATATAAGTGTTAAGAAATTCAGACATAGTGAACTCAAACTTCTGTTTGTGAAATTTAGTAACTCCTTTGCCTTGGCCTACAATTATACAGTTTAAAGGAAGTCTGCTGTTAATGTAAAGCTCTTCAAGATAACATAAACAAAATCCCAGTGGCTGAAAGCTGAATGTGAAAATTTCAGGTGGGAATCACTGAGAATCATTAAACACTGAGAAAATGTAACAGTGAATAAGATATACTCTCAAATCATCATCAAAATAAGAGCAGATGTCTTCCTAGAAGAGGCTGTAGTTGAACCAGCTGTTCTAGGATTTGTTGCAAAATCTGTGGTTTGCGTTATATGAAACCATGAGATCATCGTGTATCTTTTAGTTGGAAAATGTATGGAAATACTGTGTAGCATGACATTTAAGCATTCCATGAAGATAGGAGGCTCTGAACAGGAAAAAGAGTATAATTTACTAATACATATTTTATTCATTTTGTCCAAAGGGTCTCTGAGGTCACAAGACATTCACTACAATGGCTCTGAATTGTCATGTTTTGATAGACCACGGCTAAATGACTATGACCACAGAACTTGTTGCCAGTGCCAGAGAAGCACATCACAGACATGTGGTATGTTAGGTCTACCTAAAAGTGACTCTATGGCATGAGGAACATTTATCTAACACTTCAGTTGCAACACTTAGAGCTAACATTGTCAAACTACCCTTTGTCCTAGGCTAGTTTCTCAAGAAGCACATAGAATTTCTAAGTAGCTCTTTGGTTATGATTTTTTTTTCTGGTTTCATTCCAATGACCCTTCACTTAAAAAATAGCTTTAAATGTCTGTCTCATTTCTTTTCAATAAAAACAGCACTGCATCTGGCTTTGAGACTTGAATTCGTGTGAAGGATTTACCAGACAGTATCCAAGAACACGATATGAACTCCAAAGGACATTAAAAACCTGAACATTTCAAATCTTTGAGATTTTATGAAGTAGTACCAGAACAGATGCATATAGGACGTTAACGGATACATAATGTAACACAAGAGCACAGGTTTAAATACCATCCTAATATGTCAACTCAGAATGTGATACTTCCTCTCACATGTATCTAATTGAAAAGTAAATTAATTTTAAAAGTAGATGCTCATGACTGTCATCTGTATTACTCCTGGAGGAACAGCTTGGCTTTTATAAGTAACTCAATTTTAAAGTAATAAATTAAAGAACCCATTTTTGCAATCAAAAATGTCTTTCCTCAGTCCATGTATTATAAAGTAACTGGTAAACTAATACTCAAGTTTGAAAGAGTAAAGAATCTAAGTTTATACAGACCTTTAACACTTTTAACATTATTAAATTAACTTTCATTCCTCAGGACCAGTTCACTTGATTCCATCACTGTGCTGTGATGAAACCTGTAGCATGGAGCACAGCAGTCACAGTTGTGCTTTCCACTCACAGACTACGCTTAATGAAAGGTAACTTAGTTTTATAAATCTCTATTAAACATTAAATATTTCTTAGGAAGTCAAATTAATATTTATACAGATACAATAGCTCTTCAGAGTGGAATAGGGATTTTGATGAACTGTAGCCATATACACCTGTTTTGTGCAAAAGCAAGTTTATGGTAAAAAATTTATTTTAAGTATTACTTAGTAACTGCTGACATGATATATCAGTTTCTCTGACGAAGAAGTGACTTATTTCTCTCACAAGCACATAGTCTTCCTCTCACTCTATGGTGCCTTAGAGGCTTTGGTGACCCCCTCTTCTGCTGTGGGTTAGCAAGGTGCTGCGTAAACCTGTGAATCTGGGAGGATTAAGGTATGGTTTAGAAGTATCCTGAAGATTTTAAATTTTTTTTGAAGCTCTTAATGACTGTGAGATTTTAAATATCTGGTATTTCTTAATTTCTACCGGATTGTAACCATTAGTTTCTCCTGATCAGCTGAATATAAATACAGTAGTAGAGTAGTTATTTCTGCAGCAGTGCCACGAGCTAAATATATAAAATTTATGGTGTCCTTCAGAGTTTCCTGGTTACAGATTTTAACACAGGATGTATTTATTTATTTTAGCTAGAATTGTTTTCCATATAAGGCTTAAATTGGTCTCCAGCTGTTTCGTTCTTATGGCCAAATGTAACTAAATGTAACTAAAAACGTAGAGGCAGCTTTTTCATAGGTATTGTTTATGCAAGGTGACTTAGTGACCTAAGTACAAGATACAAAATACCTAAATTTTCTATAATAACTTGTTTAAATACCAGCAAGCTTGAGTCATCCTTTTATACCACCAAGGCTGACAAATTGAGAGTTGTGTACTTTCTGAGGGATCTTTTGGTTAAGGCTTTAAAAATAAATGTCACATCCATGCTATGTGGACATCAAAGATTCTGTGGTTCCTTCCAGTAGAATTGGAGTTAGCTTCAATTTCCTTTGCCAAAATAATGTATTTCCTTCAATTGTGGTGCAGTGTCCTGTCTTTTGGCCTCATCTTATAAAAATGCTTTGTGTGTATATCAAAGCTATTAAGGCATCGTGTTTTGGAAATGAGTAAGGCTACTTAAAGTCTGTTATAGGTGATGTTAATGTGGGATGAGTTCTGTGACACAAATTATTACTGTATATCAGACAATATAGCCTTTACAGTTTTATGAATCTGTAGACAGTTTTGGAAATAAAATGTATTAGTATCTCTTTTTAGGTTTGTTAATACTTATTTTGGTATACTATAGTAAAAAAAATTACTGTGCTTTCAACAGAGAGAGGCATGTAGAGGGCACTTAGACATGTCAGTATCATCACGCACCTTAAATACATTTGAGATAGATAATACTGACTTTCTGCTTCCATTTTCTTCCATTTTCCATAAAATAAAAATAATCCTTGAGAGAACTAAAAATCCTTGCCGTTCATTAATATTTTGTCCCTTCCACATGAAAGAGAATATGAGAACAACTTCTCTTTTCACGTTTTGAAGACTAGACAGAACAGCCTGCACGTTCAGAATGAAATCACACAGACAGAAGGAGCTTCAAGCAGCCTTGTTGTCTGTTCCCTTTTCCCAGTCTGAACTCACTTTACTTCTTTTACTTCCATTAGATATTTGTCCAGCCTGGGTTTGGTTGGGTGGTTTGGTTTTGTTTTTTTTTTTTTTCTAAAAAAGCCCTAGTGTTGGAGATTCCACAGCCTTCCCAAACATCTTTCTTACTGCAATTTAAGCTCTTTATATCTTGTTTTAAACCTGCCCTCCCCCCCCCCCCCCCCCATTAAATTGAGAACAAATAAATTGCTTCCTCTTTGAAACAGTCTTTGTATCTGAACAGTACTATAGTATTTTTTATCATATTTCTGTTCTTTAAACTATAAACAACCCCAACTGTAGTTCATGTTTTCTAAAACACTGAATTCATACTGTGAAGGGCTCCGGGCATCCTCTTCACCTTTAGTAGTGTTCTCCAGAGCTTTCTTCATTTCCAGATGAGGAAGAAACTGTATTCCTCTTCAAAAGAATTTGTTTGTACAGGGTGCCTCTATAGTATTCACTTAATATAACCCTGTTAAACCTTCTTGAAATACCTATAATTATTAATGACAGTAATTACAATACTGATAATATTTTCTGGAATGCTTTTGAAACGTGTGGGTTTTGTCCTTTTGCAGGGCTTCTGATTCTATTGGAGAAATGATTCCTACCTTCCTTGGTTCGCTTTCACACTCTGCCTGTGGAGACATTTCAGATGCTTGGCCTCTTATGCAAAACTCAGCTTGTTGTGACAGTATTTCTTTCTGTGAATCATACTCAGAACCGGCTGGAGGATCTGCAAAATCCTGCAGTCCTGAGACTGAAAATGCAGCCTCTGTTGAGTTGGATAATAACCAGGATCTAAGTGAAGTACTTATTTCAGCTAAGTCTCTTGATGGAAACAGTGCAAAGTCCTTTGAAGTCTCCAAACATAGAACATGCATAGAAGTTTCATCACTTCAGAACTCAGCGGCTGCTGAAACCCAGCCAAAGACAAAGCGTAATGGAACAGCAAATGACTCTACAGACTGATAAAGAGGTAAAAATCATAACTACAAAGGAGTGAGAATGAGTACTCAAGACACATAGAGCTAGAAAAAAATGGAATTGTAAAAAGTTGTAGGGTTATGTTTCTCCATAGGTTACACCTAGCTATTGCTGAAATAAATTAAAACACCACAAGAGATCCAAGAGTTTCACATTTTTAAATCATTGACAGAAGTTGAAAGGTGTAATTACTGAAACTGTAATGTTGAGATAATATGAACCAGAATACAGGGGTAAGTCCGTACACCAGTCAGCTTTTATCAGGTGGGGGTTTTTTATTAAATTTCAGGGGGAAAAATATCAGTTTAATAGCCTTCTGACCAAACTCTTATGTGAGGCTAGTCCTTGTTTATGAGGGAAGAATTGAGGACTTGTCTGTGCTCACTGTAAACAAAGCATAAAAGACATGCAAGCGTTCATCCAAAAATACTCACAAAGTCTTCTCAGCAGAAACAGAAGAGAGAATTTCAAATGCTTTTTAATGCCATTCATATTGCCACGCATCAGATAAAACTTTCCATAAGTTTGTCCATAAAATATAATTTAATCTATAAAAGCTCAGTGTTCTAATTTGCAGAGAAAATGCAGGTCTGAGGTCAAAATGAAAAGAGGTGATAAACAATCATCTCTACCGCCTAACAACGTAACCATCACAAAAACTGACTCTGCTACTGCTCCATCATTGTATCTTTTTGAATATTAGTGTGCTCTGTATTTTTAAAATGGCATTTTCTCCTGTTGGAAGTAACTTGGAGCAACAAGTAGCTAATCTGTGAAAGGATCCAGAAGTATGGCATGTGTACTGCTGCTGTTACTCAAGGGTTATGCAGGCTGTGGCTGGAAAGCTGAGAGTCTCCTGTGCATGTACACAGAGGCAGGAGCAGAAGCAGTTACCACTAATACTAATAATCCACCCAACTTAATTAAAAATATTATGCTATCTGTAATTATGAAAATTTTGGGTCAGCTGCAGAAGTAAAACTGCCTTCCTTTGATCCTCTTCCATTTGGTTTGCATGCCACTTTCATATTGTTCTTAAATAAAAAGTAGAGAGTCATTAGTATTTAACAAAAAAATATGCATAATCTGAAACCATGTAAGTGCAATAGCTAATTCTTTGTAAATCAAGCCTTAATTCTTTGAGTGACGTTTTCAAGAGGAGGAACAGGAGGTAAGCAGGCTGCTAAGTCAAGAATTCTTTTGCCATTGACTTCAATGGAACTCATATATCACCCTGAAAATCTGCTGCTGTCACTGAGAATATCAGCCTTACCTACGTCGCACATAGTTTTCTCGATGTACTATTTACAATATATAGTTTTGTCTGTAACAATATCTGGCGGGAACTGCCCATGTGTCAGACAGCAGTTGTCATAGTTTCACTTTGGTATATGCCAAATACCTTTAGGTGACAGTCGTATTCTCCAGGTGTATATAGGAAGGGACAATGACATGGCTATGGCTGCAAATATCAGCACTGCTAGTTCCCAGTTTTTCAGTGGTTATCAATGGAACTTGAATGCTCCCTTGACGTTTTAAGGGAAAATATTTCCATATTAACAAGATTTTAAACATCAAAAGTTTGTGGGGTTTTTTTTTCCACTAAACCATGTATCAGCTTCAGAGGTATGTGAGTAATATTATTTAGAGTTTTTCTAGATGAAAGGAACCACAAAATTTCAAAATATCACTATAAAAATGAACTTAGATTTCACCTGGAGTTATGGTATATAAACTGTAAATTTTCTTACCAATTCCTATGTGTATGTAGACATCTTTTCTGACATTTCAAAGTCTTGTACTCTCTGATGGTTTTCTACTATCATGAATTACTGCTGAGTTGTGTTTATAATTCTGAATAAGCAAGATGGTTTGGGAGGGTTAGGTTTTTCTCCATTTTTTTTTTTATTGAATAGACTTTACTGATTCATTTTGTACAATTTCTCCATATTCGAGCTCTACAGTGCATCATTATACATGCATCTTTGGTGGAGAAATTTAAGTAGCATTTGAGGGACAGGACCAGGACCAGGCTTACCTGAGATGCATTTTCAGGCTGAACTCTGACCAGCTGTACGACTCCCAGAAAATTATTTCATCTCAGTTTACCCCATTTTTTCCATTTGCCCTTCATCTTTCTTGTCTTTTTGAAATATTTTGAAGGAAGGATGGTCTTTTTAGTATGAGCGGGTATATTATAGTCTTGCATAGGGCCATACTTCATTATTATATTGCAAAATAAACAATAACGTTGTAAAATCAGAACATGGCATATTTTTATTCATGTGCACATAAATAGAGGGGATTTAATGGGTGTTTTAATACAGGTTCAGTGTTCAGGTTTAGGTGAATTTTTACAGCAAGCAGTAAGTATAGCTATATTTTTTTAGTGTTTAGTCAAGTATAGAAGTACATCCAGCTTTTTTATGAGTTTATTTAACCACTGTTCTATCACTTTCTTTTAGGACACCAAGCTATTTCTCTCAGCACTAAAGCTGAATGCTTTCCTTACGCTCCTCTGCTGATTCTCATCAAACTTAGTCTGGTCTTCAATGTTGCATGGTTTCAAAATCAGCTGGAAAAAAATGGCATCATTTCACACCTTCTGAGCAGTTGCATCTGAGCTGTAACAGCTGTAAAGTGAAACTTTAAGGAGCATCCTAGGAGAACCCTGAAAGTGGATTTATGACCTTTTGCATCTCTTAAAAAAAGAACCTTCTAAATCCCTCAGATTCTCAAAAAGTCTAATGGAGCGAGCTTGAAAGTGTATGTAAATACAGCAAGAAATATAAATACTTCCGTGTGTTTAGGTGGGTATCTTAAATACAGGTACAGATGTCAGGAGGCGTGGGACAAGACGTTGCCAGTTATTCTGCCTGCAGATTTGTGCATGCATTAGAAATTTTTTGGCTGGTTCTAATTTTAAATCGGTTTCCTGCTGTTGAAGGACTTGAAAAATAAACACTTGTATTTATGCAAGGATCATCTATTGATAGACTGAAGCTTTTATTATATATTACATGTAGTCAATAAGCTAGTTTGGGGAGTTAAGAATTTGCATGTTACAATACGTATGGTTAAAGTCCCCTCCATCCAATTATTACCTTTGTGGGAGGGGGCATTGTTTTATTAAATATAGCAGGAGATTAGCTTTAAATTAGACTTAGTTTAATGAAAGTCAGCCGTGTAGATAGGGATGTTGTGTTTAATTGGTAGTCTCAGTATTGGAATACAGCACTTGTTGTTATAGCATGTAATTTTTAGATGTTGAAATAAATTTAATCAACTGTCACATCAAAACGTTGAACTATAGCAGGTGTGCCATGAAAGTATTCAGACAATGAGACTATTACTAATATTTATTAGTAATGCATTATTTTTAAGGGTCAAGCTCCATGCTGACCTAATTCGTTTATTTAGCAGGCCTTTTCACTCATGTCACTCTGTCCTTCTCACTGTAGTATTGCGTAAATTCAATTTTTCCACACAAAAGATAAAAATTAATTCATAACATTTAAAAAAAAAAACAACAACGATGAATTGAATACTCAAAGTTGCGTGCACACCTAGGAAATTATCAGCTCTCTGCCCTCGTTGCTGTTCTTTCAGATGTTTTTAACTGCCATTTGTTGCACCACATCCCATAATACCATTTGTTCTGTGGCCATTTTTACCCCTAAAATAGTTTTCACTTCTGTGAGTAATCCCAGTAACCTCTACAGATTCATTGTATTCAACAGGCTCAAACTTGTCTGTAATGAACTCGAGCAATTATTCTTTAAAGTACCAAATGTGCCTTGACAAAAGCAAAACAATCAGCAAAACAAATGCAAATTTGCAATAAATATGACTCATCTTTCCACACATGGTTTGTGTGGCAATCGAAATGTTGAGACGGCATTCATATTCCATAATGGAAAAATACTTTTGCTTTGAAGCACCCAGTAGAAGGTCGAACCTGCACAAGAATGGCTAAAGCCAGTATAGGCAGCTAAGGCAGTGAGACAGTTCAGCTAACACCAGTGAGATTATTCATATAGGCAAAAATCATGAATAACAGTTATCAAATTCAAAACAAAGTAAGGGAAGAAATTTTGGAAGTGATTTTTTTTTTCTTTTTAGATAGTAAATAGCACCATTTGGTCACTGACAGAATAATATGCGGTTATATAGAGAGCACAATTATTCGGTTAAATACTTTGTAAAGTGTATATTCCAATAAGAGTAGCTTTGAATAATGTCTTTGGGTACTTTCATACATTTAAGAAGTGACAAAATGTTATTTTTCACTACATGTGCATGAAGAGATGTGTACTTCTTTGTATATACTTTGTAAATAGAAAAAATCCAATGTGCATTTCAGTATATGGCAAGATATTTCTAGAACATACAGAGATTTAATTTTTTACTAATAACAGTTCTGTAAAATGCTGTGTTCAAAAGTTTTGCCAGCATCTGCCACAGTAAGTATGTTTTCCCATTGGAATTTACACTTTGTATAATTGTTTTTGTCCGGCAACTCTATAGAGAAAAATACTTATTTCTTTCAATGAGTGACAGATAGCTTGAGAGCAAATTGGGAGGAAAAAATTAAGAGTACTTTTTCAATATATGTGTATATTGTGTATATACTTTTTTCCTTAATTTAACCAAATTGGTCTTCTTTATATTGCCTGTGGCAAGCAATGTTGTACATGCCAATAGAAAACATACACTACCACTGCATTTAGACTGCCCACGTATCGTGTCTAGGGACTTCTAGTGCTGTTTTAAATACTTCTTCAAGGAATGTAAATTAAAATCTTGTATAAACAGTTTTGTAATACTTTTTCTACTTGTGAATAAAACGTTACGTGAACCAGTCGTGGTTTGTTGATCTCAAATTAAGAATAGCATTCCAGACGAAGTTAGTGATCAATTCTTTTGTTGTTTTTAGAAACCCATACGGGTTTAATTGTATTAAAATTACAGTATAATGTGGTACATCTTTGCCTTA